TTTGTATTAACCGCTTCCCCTCCACCCTATAGCAGAAGTACTGCTACAGGGCAGCACAGCTGTGCAAAATCACGTATCTATACGTGATTTGCATTTCCAGGTAAGGGGCGTGTGCGCGCCGCCATTGGTGGCTACAGATGTCAATCACCAAGTGCTGGCCGGAGATTCCCTGCCGAAACCCGGCGAAAGCCGAGTAACACTGACAGGTCTTTCTCCTGCCAGCAATAACAAGCTACTGTGCATTTCTCTGCACAACAGAAAAATACATAGCAGGTTTCCCTAGTAAAACACACAGAGCACATCATGTAAAACAGCACAGAGCACACAGTTAACCCTTTGATTGCCCCAGATGTTAACCCCTTCCTGCCCAGTGTTAATACAGTGTCAGTACTTTTTATGAGCACTGATCACTGTATTAGTGTCAGTTCCCCCCCAGTGTCAGAATGCCCGCTGCAGTCCTGCAGTAAGTCCCTGATCGTCACCATTACTAGTATACAAAATTCTTGTGTATATACCGCCATTTGTAGGCGCTATAACTTTCACGTAAACCAATTACTTTACATATATTGGGATTTTTTTTTTTCTATAGAAAAGACATGTAGCAGAATACATTTTGGCCTAAATTTATGATGAAATTTGATTTTTAAAATTTTTTACTGGATATGTTTTATAGCAAAAAAAATATTTTTTTTCAAAATTGTCGGTCTTTTATTGTTTATAACGCCAAAAATTTAAAACAGCAGAAGTTATCAAATCGCACCAAAAAAAAAAGCTCTATTTGTGTGAAAAAAATGGACGTAAATTTCATTTATGTAAAGAGTTGCATGACCGCGCAACTTTCAGTTAAAGTAACGCAGCACCATATTGCAAAAAATGGCCTGGTCAGGAAGGGGGGGGGGGAATAAATCCTCTGGAGGGCAAATAATACACTAATCAAAAAATTTAAGGAACACTTTTTAATTACTGTAAAGCATCAAGTCAAATAAACTTCTGGGATATTGATCTGGTCAGTTAAGTAGCAGAGGGGGTTGTTAATCAGTTTTAGCTGTTTTGGTGTTAATGAAATTAACAGCGGGCTCACTAGATGGGCAACAATAAGACGACCCCCAAAACAGGAATGGTTTTACAGGTGGAGGCCACTGACATATTTTTCCCTACTCATCTTTTCTGACTGTTTTTCACTAGTTTTGCCTTTGGCTAGGGTCAGTGGGACTACTGGTAGCATGAGGTGATACTTGGACCCTACAGAGGTTGCACAGGCAGTCCAACTCCTCCAGGATGGCACATCAATACATGCCATTGCCAGAAGGTTTGCTGTGTCTCCCAGCACAGTCTCAAGAACATGGAAGAGATTCCAGGAGACAGGCAGTTACTCTAGGAGAGCTGGACAGGGCCGTAGAAGGTCCTTAACCCATCAGCAGGACCGGTATCTGCTCTATTGTGCAAGGAGGAACAGGATGAGCACTGCCAGAGCCCTACAAAATGACCTCCAGCAGGCCACTGGTGTGAATGTCTCTGACCAAACAATCAGAAACAGACTTCATGAGGGTGGTCTGAGGGCCTGAATTCCTCTAGTGGGCCCTGTGCTCACTGCCCGGCACCATAGAGCTCGATCGGCATTTGCCATTGAACACCAGAATTGGCAGGTCCACCACTGGCACCCTGTGTTTTTCGCAGATGAGAGCAGGTTCACCCTGAGCACATGTGACAGACGTGAAAAGGTCTGGAGAAGCCGTAGAGACTGTTATACTGCTTGTAACATCGTTTAGCAGGACCGTTTTGGTGTTGGGTCAGTGATGGTCTGGGGAAGCATATCCATGAAGGGACACACAGACCTCTACAGGTTAGACAATGGAACCCTGACTATCATTAGGTATCGGGATGAAGTCTTTGGACCCATTTTCAGCACCTATGCTGGTGCAGTGGGTCCTGGGTTCCTCCTGCTGCATGACAATGCCCGGCCTCATGTGGCGAGAATATGCAAGCAGTTTTTAGAGGATGAAGGAATTGATACCATTGAATGGCCCCCACGCTCACCTGACCAAAATCCAATAGAACACCTCTGGGATATCATGTCCATCTGACACCGCCAGGTTGCACCTCAGACTGTCCAGGAGCTCAATGATGCCCTGGTCCAGATCTGAGAGGAAATACCCCAGGACCCCATCTGTCATCTCATTAGGAGCATGCCCCGACATTGTCAGACATGCATACAAGTACGTGGGGGCCATACAAACTTCTGAGTATCATTCTGAGTTGATACAATGAAATTTCAGCAAAATGGACTAGCCTGCTGCATCATTTTTTTCACTTTGATTTTCAGGGTGTCTTTGAATTCAGTCCTCTGTAGGTTGATCATTTTCATTTCCATCATCAATGGGGCATCCTTATATTCCTAACACATTACCCAGTCCATATCAGTATAGATATCCAGCATGATATTTTTCCCCATTGAGATCTGATGTGTTTTTAAAGTGTTCCTTTAATTTTTTTGAGCAGTGTATATATGCTACAAGGACTGCACTGACTAATTGAGTTGGCTTTATTAACAATGAGAACTGACAGGGGTTCTAATCCTTCCGTATTGTATACATCCCACTGGATATCACATCATGAGATAAAATACCGCATATTTTGATTAAATAACGAATGCTTTATTTTATCTCAGATTTTAGGACGACAATAACTCTCTGTATTGAGCCCACAGTAACAAGAACAATAAAGCTCTTTAACCCTTCAGAGTCCATGTCCTGTGTAGCTCAAAGTGCACATCTAACACCATGTAATGAAACCCAGTTCCACAATACGAAGAAATAACTGAAGAAAGTATACACAGTGATCCACTGTCTAGCAGGAACCCAGCGAGGCTAAAAACCTTTAGTCAGAAAATGAAGTCTTGCTAGAATACCTCAGGCTGGTCCCTTTTGCTGGTATAGCTACTGTACGTGAAACATTAAAAATAAGTACCTATACTGTTTAACCACTTCAATACCAGGCACTTTTACCCCCTTCCTGCCCAGGCCAACTTTCAGCTTTCAGTGTTGTAACACTTTGAATGACAATTGTGCGGTCATGCAACACTGTACGCATAAAAATGTGGGTTTTTTTCACATAAATAAAGCTTTCTTTTGGAGGTAATTAATCACTAAAGTTTTTTTTATTTTTTGCTAAACAAAAAAAAAAAAACCCAAACTATTGGAAAAAAATATATATTTTCTAAGTTTCCGGTATAAAATTTTGCAAATAAATAACCTTTCTTCATAAATTTAGGTCAAAATGTATTCTGCTACATTTCTTTGGTGAAATTACACCAAATTAGTGTATATTATTTAGTCTGTAGGAAAGTTATAGAGTCCACCAACCATGGTATATATATCTGACAATTGATCAATGAGCTGACGGCCAATCTCATTTCTTGAGACCCAAAAACATCAGGATAGTACAAATACCCCCAAATTGACCCATTTTTGGAAAATAGACAGTCCAAGGTATTTAGTAAGACGCATGGTGAGTTTTTTGAAGTTGTAATTTTTTGGAAAATGAAGAAATTAGAAAAACAAATTCACTTTTTTTGTTAACATATTGTCACCACTCCAGTACAGCATTATTATGTAACTGGTGTGGCAGTGATCAGGGACAATGACTGGTGACAGTACAGTAAGTAAAATAAAAATAAAGTCATTTTAATTTTTTTTTTTTATATTGTTTTCTTTATTAAATTTTTTTTTTCAACACACTGTGACGAAAGCAGTACAATGTTACCATTTTTTAATACACATTATGATTGCTAATACCAATGTATTAACTTGATATTTGCAACCATTGTTACTGAATGAAACTGATTAATTCAGTCTTTGGCTGTGATTAGCTGTGATTGGACCTGTGAGCAGCACCTTCTGGCAGGACATCATATGATGTCCACTTAGAAGTGTCCTGCCCGGCTATCAATATGTTATAGGCTGCGTGGGAAGGTGTTAAAATCCATTAATACACTGTCTCATCCTGCTCTGCACATGCTCAATTGCTATCAATCTTGAGGCAGTTTTAGGCACTGTGCCGAGTTTGTAGAGGCCGATCTGCGGACAGTTGAAAGATTAAAGCGGAACTACACCTATCGATTTAACAGTTTCAAAAAACAGTTACATTCCTGGCATGCCCGGAATGCTAACGGTCACATGTGCTTGGGTTCTCAACCAAACAGTCAAATGACTGGTGTTAGAACTGATATTTGCAGCTCCATGGAAGTTCCAGATTAAACAGATGGAGGCTTCATTGGCTGTAGGAAAAGGAGGGTTTATTTCTGCTTTAACTGCTGCTCAGGGCTCTGAGATTCAACAAAATGGCAGCCTCCAGCAAGAAGGAACAATGCTGGAGGCAATTTACAGCACACACTCATTTTGGTAGCATATTTATTAATGTGGAATGTATGTTCCTTGCTAAAGAACATTATTTATCATCAATTGTTAGGAGTAAAGTTCCGCTTTAAAGCGAAGCTCCACCCAAAAGAGGAAGTTTCTGCTTTAAGCCTTTGTTCCCCTGCTCCCCATTAAGGATTGACACCTTTTAGAAGCGGGTACCTGAATTTGACAGGTACCAGCTCCCACTTCGATCGCCGAGGTGATCGGAACCGGAAGTTGTCGTCCCCTCCCTGTAGTGACAGGTCCCAGAAGACTGCAGGGCCATTCATAAAGCGCAGCGTTTCTTGTGCATGCGCAGTGGACACCTGGCTGTGAAGCTGCAAGCAGTCACAGCCGGGTGCCCACACTGAAGATACCGGCGCCTGTCAGAAAAGACGGTTGATGAAACCAGCAGTGGTGAGGACACCGCTGGACCGAGGGACAGGTAAGTGTCTGTATTTCAAAAGTCAGCTGCTACAGTTTTTGTAGCTGCTGACTTTTTTTTTTCTATTCGCATCCATTGCCTGTGTGCGCTCCCTGGGAGTGTGTGGAACAGCTATCAGTGCCCGCTGTGTCTTCTGGACACACCGGAACACCGATCACTGTACAGGACCTGTGTAAAGTCCCAATTCATCTGATCACTGATTGGCCAATCAGTGATCACATGAATAGTAGTAAACAAAATGTCACTTCCTGACATTGCTTACCTGTGAAATCTGAATGATCACAGAGGTCACATGGTACAAGGCTATTCACAACAGCCTCCCACCATGTGACAAGCTGTGACCAATCACAGCTCTCACAGTATTTCTCAACGGCTGCAAGAATGCAGCCAGAGAGAAGAAGTGATTGCTTTTACAGCCTTTATGGGTGTAAAAGCAATCCGTGTAAAATAAGGAAAAAAAAATAAATAAATCTTCATCACCCCCCACAAGCAGTAGTGTCACTATGGTGACATTGTACTGCTAGGGTGACTGTATGTTAAAAAAACAAATATAAAAAATAAAAATGTAAAAGTTTTTTTGAAAAATTGTAATTTTTGGTTATAAACCAAAAATTTGGGTTTTTTTTTTTTTGCTTTTTTTTTTTACTAAAAAGATAGATGAACACATTTTGGCCAAGGTTTATGAAGAGTTATTTGCAAAATTTTCTAAGAAACACTTTTTTTTCAAAATGTTTGGACTTCTTCATTTATATAGCAAAAAAATAAAAATCCCAGTGGTGAATAAATACCACCAAAATAAAGTTTTATCGGTCTCAAAGAAATGCTAAAATATGAATATGGTTACAGTGTTGCATGACTGCGCAATTATCATTCAAAGTGTGATAGCGCTGAAAGCTGGCCTGGACAGGAAGGGGGTGAAAGTGTCTGGACTGTAAGTGGTTAAGTAGTAATTTACATAAAATCCCCCAATTTTGAGTTCCTCACTTTGAATGTATTTTCCCTCACTTCCGGTTTTGATTATGGGACAGGAAGTGAAGGGAAATCTCCCCAATGAGACACAGATGCCAAAAAAAATAAGTAAAAAAAAACTGACAGGGGTTATACCCTCCCTTGCTCAATCCAAAATGAAACAACCCCGTTTTGCCCTTAGTTACACTTTAAATCCAGGCCACAGGTATCCTGTCAGAATTTGCAGTCCCCCGCAGGCCTGTCTCTCCATCGTGGGGGTGATGACACGGACTCCCTGCCTCCATTACCCTGTGTGCGATAGTAGGAATGTGCTGACAGGGCCTCTTCCTAGACTGTCCATGCTTGGACAGCAGAACAATGAACGTACATTAACCCTCACACAGCCTTCCTGACACACAATGATCTCCGAGAGGATGAATGTATCAGAGAACAGCTAGCTTCCTCCGCAGTATCTCCCATAATGCCCCGCTCTACAGCCGCACACTGACGGATGGACGGCCCGGACATATTCTCTACCCGAGCTCCGCACACCAGTACAGAGGACCTACCTTCACTTTAATCAGCATGTTGCCGGTGTGTATGCTCACTCTCCCCCCGCCTCAGTCTCAGCACAGCGCAGACTACCTCCACTTCCGGCGCGGCGGGAAACGACACAGGAAGCGGCGACGGAGCGGTCACGTGACGTTATTGCTTTTTCCCCTGGGCCCTTCTGACAGCGGTCACCTATAACAGGTGTGTATGGGCGTCACATGGGTCTACTAGTCCATGGCTGGGGCTGTCGGTGTGTGTCCTACTGGGGTGACTGGCTGGGCTCTGTGCCTCTGCTGGCATTCATCCTGTAGAGGTCATCCCCGGAGCCACGTGCTCCTCTGCAGTCTTTCTTCATCTGCTGTCGTTCATTCTTGTTGCTGTTGAGGTGATTGTAATGTGTGGAACCCTAGGGAAGATCTAAAAACTACTCCTGAAGCGGGGGCTTTCCTTGTGCTTACAAAGTACAGCTAAAGGCGATTTGGTTTCCATTTTGGATAGCGAAAGGGAGGGTTATAACCCCTGAATGATGAGGATTGGTATAGCCGGCACTTGTCTTCCCCAATAATAAACTTTATTGAGTAAAATGTGCATAGAAAATTTCTCACGCAGTTCGGCAATACGCCTTAATCATAGGGCTTGACTATGGCTTATTGGTGAAACGCGTAAGACATTTTCTGAGTGCTGGCTATACCAATCCTCATCATTCACTTGTATCTGTGCAGGGAAGACAGCCAGAGGACTGACATTCCACCTCTGGGGGGATTATCTCTGGGCGTAGCACCTATTTGTTCACAGGGTTATAACCTCTCACAGATTTTTTTTTCTACTATCTGTTTCCCATTGAAGAGATTTTCCCTTCGCTTCCTGTCCCACAGCCAAAACAGGAAGTGAGAGGAGATTCCTCCAAAGTGAGGAAATCCCAAGGTGTCACTAGATCTAGTGTCCCCATTTGAAGATTTTCCCCTCTATTTCTGTTCTGTTGTCAACTCAAAATGTGGGATTTTTTAGTGATAACAGTAAGCAGGACAAATGAGAGAGTGAATCTCCCTGACACTGACATAGCGATAAAATTCCTCTCCACTCTGCCCAAAACTAAAAAAAAAAGTTACACTTTAACTACTTGCCAACCACGCTATAACCGAAGGACGTCCAGTCCTGGGAGGGCGTCATATGACATCCAGTCCTGGGAGGGCGTCATATGACATCCAGTCCTGGGAGGGCGTCATATGACGTCCTCCCAGAACGCGCCCTCCCTCACGCCCCCGGCGATCTCCGTGATCGCTGTGTCCTACAGACACAGCTGATCACGTGATGTGGTAAAAGGCCAATCTCAGCAGTCTTTTACCACTTGATCAGCTGTGTCCAGTGACACAGGAGATCACTGGTAAATGCAGTTACCGGTTATCGGCTGCACTTTCCTCTGATAACTGGCAGTTGTTAGAGGACAGATCGACACCGATCATCAGGGCACTGATGATCAGTGCCCAGCAGTGCCACCCAACAGTGGTGCCCAGCAGTGCCACCGACCTGTGCCCAGCAGTGATTAGTAGTGCCACCCATCAGTGCTGCCCATCATTATTGCTTATCAGTGCAGCCTCATCAGTCCACATCAGTGAAGGAGATAAATTACCTGTTTGCAAAATTGTATAATAGAAACTTTTTTTCAAATTTTTTGCTCTTTTTTTTGTTTATAGCGCAAAAAATAAAACACCCAGCGGCAATTAAATACCATCAAAAGAAAGCTCTATTTGTGTGAAAAAAAATGCTAAAAATTTGATATGGGTACAATGTTGTATGACCGCGCAATTGTTATTTTTTTTTACCTTTATGCATTCTATGCATGGAGGTAAAAAAAACATTGTGTGTGTAGCAGCTCCCCTAACACCTGAGCCCCATCGTGATCCAGCGATGTCCACGAGGGCCTCTCACTCCTGATTGTCTGAGGCAGCAGTGGGAGCCATTGGCTTCTGCTGCTGTCAGTCACAACTAGTGAGCCAATCAGGAGAGGAAGGGAGAGAGGCTAAGCTGCAGCTCTGTGTGTAAATGGACACGCAGAGCTGCAGCTCAGGAATGCGACTGCTTGGGAGCCCCAGAGCAATCTGCTTTCTGTGGGGGCACCCGACAGGAGGGAGGGGCCAGGAGTGGCAGCGGGGGACCCAAGAAGAGGAGGATCCAGGCTGCTCTGTGCAAAACCACTGCACAGAGCAGATAAGTATAGACATGTTTGTTAGTTAAAAAAAAAGAATTTTAAAAAAAGGACTTTAGTATCACTTTAAATGTTCATTTAGGCAGTTCTAGCCATTTTTGTGTTTATTGAAAATCAGCAGCTATAAAGACTGTAGCTGCTAACTTTTAGTAGACACACACTCACCTGTCCCAGGGTCCAGCGACATGCTCACCCGTGCCGTCACTTCTCTCCCCAGCGCTGGCATCTCAACTGTGGGCACCACGCTGTGACAGCCAGGTGCCCACTGCTCATGCGCGAGTCGCACTGCGCTTCCTGATTGGTCCGGCAGTCTTCTGGGACCTGTGAAGGTTCCCAGGAGACTGCGGATGGTAGGAGGGGTCAAACTTCTGGCTCACTTTGCCGCAGCGAACTGAGCTAGACGTGGGAGAGGATACCTGTCAAAACCAGGTATCTGCTCACCCCTCCCCCCCCAAAAAAAGGTGCCAAATATGGCAGTGGATGGGAGGAGGAAGCAAACAAGTGGAGCTTCCACTTTTGGGTGTAACTCCGCTTTAAGGCTCCACTCACATCTAGGTGTTTTGTATCATGAGCAGAATCGTCACAATTCTGCCTGCAATCCTAAAAATGCTATACAAAACTGACAAATTGCACCACATTTGTTCAGGCGCCATTAATTTTCATGAGCAGGAGCTTCTTTTGGGGTGACAATCTTTGCGCAAAGCGGTTTTGCAATTGCAGCACGACAATCGCAACAGAATTGCACCACATTTTAGAAAATTCATGGCACCCGAACAAGCGTGCGATTTGTCAGTTTTGCTGAGTGTTTTGGGACTGGGGGCAGAGTCTCAGCTATACAAAATGCCTAGATGTGAATGGAGCCTTAGGCTAGGTTTACACCTCTGAGGGCTGTGGGTGATGCATTTTTCGCTGCATTTTGTGTTTTTTGACGCTTTTTATTGTCATTTTTTTATGCATTTTGTATTTTTTGGAGGTGTCTGTTGTCATGCAGGAGAAACCAGCAGAAATGCAGTGGAAATGCATGAAAAATGCAAACACTGCATTTTCAATGCATTTATGCTGCTTTTCCATTGTAGTCTACAGAACCAAAAATGCAACATGCATCCCTTTCCAAAAGACACACCGGCTGAAAACACACAGATGGGAACATGGTCCATAGGAAATCATGTTAAATGGACTGTAGTGCGTTTCTGTAAATCACATAGGTGTGAACCTAGCCTAAAAAGCAATTTTGCTTACCATACCCCTAGTTCCTCCAGCAGCTTGTGATATCATCTTCCCTGTGGAGCTCCAGAGTGGGGGCGATTCCTCTTCATCCTCCCTAAAGCTCGGTACACATTGTTAAAAAATCAAATGGTTCAACAGGAACCGGCCGACTTTTGGTCTGTGTGTACAGCTGTCTGTTCTACGGAAGCTGTTCTAACGAACAACTTTTGTCAAAGGGACATACTGGAAAACTAGCATCTAATCGGCGTTTGCAGTCAATGGCTGCTAGCGCTGATCTGTGTATTCTGATGTGGGTAGGAGGAGTCTCCCTGTCAGAATAGATATGCATATATTATTATTATTATTATGATTATACAGGATTTATATAGCGCCAACAGT